CAAAAGCTGAAAAGTGAGTTATTTCCGCTTGGTGGGAGGCGGCGGCGACGGCAGTCGGCTTCTGCTTCGGTGTCTTCATGGCGAGTTATGAACCGCCCGTGGCATGATCGGCGCGGTCAGTTGGACTGGAATCCTCGCGGAAAGCTGGTTTTAAATTCGATAATTGGAATAAACTGGTCCTTTTCTTCTTTATTTTCCCCGAGATCGGCAGCATGACGCAGCTGGCTTCGCATTTCGAGACCTTCCACGGCGGCCCGCTGCACGCCATTTCCTTCGACTTGTACGGCACCAAAGTCGCCACCGCCAGCAGCGACGAGTCCATTCGTCTTTGGGAAGTTTCTGCGGACTCGCGAGGCGCTCAGTTTCTGCAGGAGCTGCACGGCCACAGCGGGCCTGTCTGGCAGGTGAGTAGCAGCAGCAGCAGCAGCAGCAGCAGCAGCAGCAGCAGCAGCAGCAGCAGCTTCCTCGCGAGCTGCTGCGCGGCCAGTCGCACCCCAAGACACCACTCATTCTCCTTTTTAGCAGCAACACGGCACTCTGCATGCAGCAGCAGCAGCAGCAGCAGCAGCAGAGGCAGCAAAGCACAAGATCGCTTGGATTCCTCTTTTTGCAAATCCCCGGCTCTCCCGAGCGCATTTTTAGGCTTCCAAGTGCAGCAACAGCAGCAGCAGCAGCAGCAGCAGCAGCAGCAGCAAAACACTCTGCATTCTGCGTTCGAATTTAGTCCAGTCTGTCGGGAATATCTGCTTTTTTCCGGAGTTGTTCTTTTTGTCTTCACTTCATCAGCACTTTGCATGCAAGTTGCGTCAAATTTTGCGGATTTTTCTTTTTTTTTCGAATTTGTGCCCCTCTGCTCCCAAATGGATATTTAATGGCAATTTGATAATTAAATAAAGTTTAGTTTCTTTCAAAAGGCTTTTCGAGGTCTTTTGCAAATTCGGAAAAGTTGAATTGCAGAACCTGCTGCTGCTGCCGCTGCTGCTGCTGCTGCTGCTGCTGCTGCTGCTGCTGCTGTTGCTGCTGCTGCTGCTGCTGCTGCTGCTGCTGCTGCTGCAGCTGCTGCTGTATTTTCCAGGCGTTTTGCATGCGTGCGGGGGCATGCCCCCGTGCATAGACCTGGTGGAGTGCAGTTCCAGCTATTTGTGCTCCCTTGCATGCATGCATGCATGCATGCATGCATGCATGCATGCATGCATGCATGCAAGTTAGGGTTTTGTGTAGCTGTTGCGCATGCAAGGCTTTGCGGATTGCCTCGCGTCTCCCCAGTTGGCTGCAGCTGTCCTGCAGCCTGTGCTGCACTCTGCATGCACGCACGCATGCATGCACGCATGCATGCACGCATGCATGCACGCATGCATGCATGCATGCATGCATGCGTTTGTTTGGGGCTGTGCATGCATGCGTGTGGCTGCAGCAGTGCAGAGAGCTGCCGCTGCCCGAGGGCGAGCAGCACTCAGACTGGGTAAGAGATGTGGCCTTTAGGCCGCAAGGAGCTGCTGCTGTGCTGCTGCCTGGGGCTTTGCTGCTGGCTTCCTGCAGCGAAGACAAGACTGTGAAGCTGTGGCTGGGCGAGCCGCAGCAGCAGCAGCAGCAGCAGCAGCAGCAGCAGCAGCAGCAGCAGCAGCGGTGGCGGCTGCTGCAGACGCTGGTCTTCGACGCCCCCGTCTGGAGAGTCTCCTGGAGCAGCAGCGGCGCTCTCTTAGCTGCTGCTTGCGGCGACTCTGCTGTTTTGCTGCTGAAGGAAAACGTGCACGGCAGCTGGGAACTTGTCACTGACTTGGCCGAGAAGGCCGCGCTGCAGCAGCAGCAGCAGCAGCAGCAGCAGCAGCAGCAGCAGCAGCAGGTGCAGCAGCAGCAGGCCCCCGCCCAGGTGCAGCCGGGGCAGCAGCCGCCCCTGCAGCAGCAGCAGCCCGTCCAGCAGCAGCAGCAACCCATGCAGCAGCCCAACCAGCAGCAGCCCCCAATGAGCCAGCTCCCGCAGCAGCAGCAGCCCATGCAGCAGCAGCAGCAGCAGCAGCAGCAGCAGCAAATGACCCCGCAGGGAGCTCCCCTTTCCAATGCTTTTGGCCTAACACAGCAGCAGCCTCCACAAAACGCGCAGCTGGGCACCAGGGGCACTGTACCCCCAATGGGGGCCCCCCCAGCCCCCATGGGGGCCCCCATGGGGCCCCCCATGGGGGCCCCCATGGGGCCCCCCATGGGGGCCCCCATGGGGCCCCCCATGGGGGGCCCCAGTGCTGTTGGCGGTGTGCGGCCGCCCCCGTTTATGGGGGCACCTGGGGTGCAGCAGCAGCAGCAGCCGGGCAGCTCGCAGCAGCAGCAGAAGCAGCAGCCGCTGCAGCAGCAGCAGCAGCCCGCGCCCCCTCCTAGCGGCGGGTTCATGGCCCCTCCCTCACTGCAGCAGCAGCACCAGCAGCAGCAGCAGCAGCAGCAGCAGCAGCAGGAAGCAGGCGGCATGGTGCCGCGGCCGCCTGCAGCTGGCAGCCTGGGGGCCCCCCCG